CGTACTCGAGAGTACTGAAATCAAAGAACTTGTCTGTTTACCTATAACGCCAAGTCGAATTTGTTATTTATGCAAGTCATATTTTTAACACGAGTAAACTCGCCACCAAAATAGACTGATTCGACTAGCTTTCAATGTTATAGATCCAGGTTCAGTTAATACTTTGAAAATGCATTCGACTCCAAGCAATAACATATCGATCGACTGTTGAAGTTCGAAATCGACATGTATCACCATCATATAGAGATCAAATTGAATCCAAAGTAATCTGATGAATGCGGCCATTCGTTTTCTTCTGTACGGTTTTACGTACTATTTAACTCTCTCTTCAGAGTGCTTTTCAACTTTCCCTCACGGTACTTGTTCGCTATCGGTCTCGTTATAATATTTAGCTTTGGAACAAGTTTACGTCCCACGTTGGCGTAGCAATCTCAAACTACGCTACTCGAAAGGTATACAATGTACAGCACAACTATTCGTGATTATAGGACTAGCACCTTCTATGGTTAAAGCCCTGATCAAAGGAACTCACACGAACAGGCACCATACAATAGTTACCCCAAATGCTACAATGCATGTCAAAAGTGAATTTAACACGCTTCAGCAATGAGCTTTTGCCGGTTCATTCGCCATTACTAAGGCAATCTCAGTTGATTTCTTTTCCTTTGCTTATTAATATGCTTAAGTTCAGCAAGTATTCTAATTTGACTTCAGCTTGAAAAAACAGTAAAATGAATATAATATCATTTATATGTATATTATACACACACAAACATATTTTGCAAATTAATTCTATTGTATATTATCAATAACACGGATATGATAAAGATTTCTCGCGTTATGACAGTTTACACAACAAAAAATAATTTTGTGTATATGTGTATAACTCCGTTTTATACGTAATACAACATTATATAAATATTGTATATTTCTATATATGTATTGCAAGCTAGATAATTACATCGAACTTGCCAGCAATTCATTTTATAGAGAATAAAATGAATTTGATGTTATGTAAACAAGACTGAAGCAAATTTAGCCTCGACTAGTGTCTTGGCTGCTAGATGCGTTCGAGTTATTCATGCTCAATGTGTCCTGCAATTCGCATTGCTTTCTCGCACTTTGCTGCGCTCTTCATCGAATAACGAGCCGAGTGATCCACCGTACAGAATTATTTTTTTTTGTTTCCGTATATGTATATATTCGATTCATATTCAATGACAAACAACAATGATTTGTTGAATGGAAAGGTTTATAAACAAGACAACAAAACTCAAGAGAATTATTGTTGTCTTGTTATATGTTACATAATGGTGCGACACAATCATCACAAATATATTTGTGATGATTGTGCGAAGTTTAAATTTTTGTTTTTAATGATTGAAGTCAATCAAAAAAAAACGGTAATGATCCATACGCAGGTTCACCTACGAATACCTTGTTACGACTTTTACTTCCTCTAAATGATCCAGTTTGAGCATCTTTTCGATATAAACCGAACGACTCGAGAGCCGCTCGGAAAACCAAGCCGAAGATCTCACTAAAACATTCAATCGGTAGTAGCGACGGGCGGTGTGTACAAAGGACAGGGACATAATCAGCACATTCTGATGAAATAGTGCTTACTAGGAATTCCTCGTTGACGGAGAATAATTGCAAGCTCCGATCCCAGTCACGAAGAGAATTTCATGGTTACCCACTTCTGTCGAAGTAGGAAGAAACATTCTGAACTCTCCAGTGTAGCGCGCGTGCAGCCTCGGACATCTAAGGGCATCACAGACCTGTTATTGCTCCATTTCGTGTGGCTTAAAAAGTGCCACTTATCCTGCTAAGAAGTCTTGAAAAGTCCCTTCGAACTTTAGACTATTTAGTAAGCCGGAGTCTCGTTCGTTATCGAAATTAATCAGACAAATCGCTCCACGAACTACGAACGACCATGCACCACCACCCACCTAATCAAGAAAGAGCTCTCAATCTGTCAATCCTAAAAGTGTCCTGGCCGAGTAAGGTTTCCCGTGTTGAGTCAAATTAGGCCACAGGCTCCACTTCTTGTGTGTCCTTCCGTCAATTCTTTTAAGTTTCAGCTTTGCAACCATACTTCCCCCGGAACCTAAAAACTTAGATTTCTCGAGATCCGCCAGATGAGTCATATAAATAACCGCATCTAAAAGACAGTTGGCAACGTTTATGGTTTGAACTAGGACGGTATCTAATCGTCTTCGAACCTCAAACTTTCGTTCTTGATTAATGAAAACATTCTTGGCGAACGCCTTCGCTGCTGTTCGTCCTGTGGCGATCCAAGAATTTCACCTCTCACACCACAGTACGTACGCCCCCCTCTGATCCTATTAATCATTATCTCAATTTCTAAAACCAACGAAATAAAATCGAGATCTTATTTCATTATTCCATGCAATATATATAGGCGTGAGCCTGCTTTTAGCACTCTAATTTTCTCAAAGTAAACGTTCTGGCAACTGACGACAATCGATAAAGATCATCGCCAGCCGTCCAGCAAATGAGGATCTGTTAACCAACATGGCCAGTTAGACCAGCTAGCAACAAATACCCGAAATTCAACTACGAGCTTTTTAAACACAGCAACTTTAGTTTTCCTTATTGGAGCTGGAATTACCGCGGCTGCTGGCACCAGACTTGCCCTCCAATTGTTAATCGATAACCTGTTTACAGTGTTCCCATTCCGATTGTCAGCCTATAATAGACTAACATCGTTATTTCTCTTCACTACCTCCTCGTTTTGAGAGTGGGTAATTTGCGCGCCTGCTGCCTTCCTTGGAAGTGGTCGCCGTTTCTCAGGCGGCCTCTCCAGAACCAAACCCTGATTCTCTGTACTCGTTACAACCACGGTAGACATATAATGTACCGTCTAAAGTTGATAAGTCAGACACTTGAAAGATATGTCGTCGACACAAAGGTCATACGATCAACACAAAGTTATTTAGAGTCACCAACAAACAGTTCCGTTGAAAGAACTAGAAGGTTTTGATCTAATAAAAGCATTCCGATATTACTACCGGAATTGTCGCATGTATTAGCCCAGGCTTTTCCTCGGTTATTCCATTTAGAATTTATGATCAAAGAAAGTTATAGCTGATGTAATGAGCCGTACGCAGTTTCACCTTAAACCAGTTCATACTTAGACATGCATGGCTTAATCTTCAAGATAAAGGAAAGCCACCGACAAGATCAATCGGAAAGCTTCGTTATATATATATATTTATTCATATACATACATACATATATATATATATATATGTATATGAATGTTTTTCACAACAAGTCAAATGAAATCACTTCATTATGACCAGTGTTTTTATTTTATTTAATATACATACGAGACGTATATCAATTCGTTGTTTCATCGAGACGAAACAAAACTAACCCACATCATAGGAATAAATTCATTCCAGTTCTTAATGCAACTCATTTACAAGCATTCAAGCCCAAACTATCAACATATGATCAATTATTGAAAATTGATCAACAAGATGTTAGTTTATATACGTGTGCATAAGTCGAAACATTTTCAACCGCATTCACTTCTTTGCCATTTGTGATGTTTTTTTTTTTGCAATTAGTTCGTTTTTTCTTGTGATCTATTTATATATGATCATTAGAAAAGTTAACGAAGCAGCTTCGAAAAACTTTTTTTTTTCATCATATACAATTTATTTCACAATGCTAAACAACTATTTTCAACACAGTCATACTAGCCGAACAATCGCTTCATCACAATATCATCCTCGAGAAACTAGACCATTGTTGGGTGAACCGAATCTGTACGAAAATTGTTATATCGGACTCGCATACGTAGAGTTTGTCTCATATATAACGAGAAATGAGTCAACCTATTTGCTGACTCATTTTTTCCTACTCAGCCATATTCCTTTTTCTTTCCTTCATTCTCATATTAGTCACGCGCAAAAGTTTCCCAAATCGAACAACTTTGTATGCGACTGGAATGTGTAGGCCATTGGCGAACAATTAATACCATCGACGAGCAAAACTTGTTCTTGTAAGGGAAAAACTCGAATATGATACGGATCTTCCTAGTATTGCGTCTTTATTCTAGTTTCACGTGTTTGTCGGTGATCGAAAACCGTCTGATGATTCTTTAACAAACTGTGGAAAACCAGCTCTCTAATTAAAAAAAATGCAGCATTATAGCAATGAATCAATTATCAATTCAAGTTTTCGTGTGTACAAATTTCCGTACTGTTTCTCTCTTATTCAGACGAATATTTTACAATAAGATTCTTGAAAGACTTTTGCTTTAATCTTATGTTAAGAATCACTCGAAGTCGTGGATTTACACGTATTTGACAGTCTGAAGTGATCTTTTGATAAGATCGTACAAAATTGTACCAGACTATAGATATATGTATATCGAAATTTTCAGACCTGGGAAACATGATAGCTCAATCCGTTAAAGATAGTACAGATAGGTTCGTTTATATCATCAATTTGACTTCAATCTATCCATGAAACAAATGTAGGAAGAAACGAACGGTCAGTTCGTTCGCTACGTATACTAGACTAATGGTAAGGTCGCAATGCAGAGAACGACTGTTGATAACCAATGAAAACACATCATTAAATGATATTTACTAGCGCCATTAGATTAAGATATACTTCGTTACACATTAGAAATAGAATATTAAGATATCTACAATTTCTATAATCACTATAAATTGAAATATCTGTTCTCAATAATGCATTATTTCCATTACGATTATATCAGAGTTAGTTCAAATTTCACTGGGTGTTTAATAATTCGTATATGATGCATTAGAAAAAGAATAATCTTGTTTCATGATGCCTATTGAAATCAATTTCGAATATACTCACTACATTGTTGCTTTTTTTACTTCACTTAGCAAACTCACATATATCTCTTGTACATCCCGAAGTACTCGAAGAGAAATATCAGCCTAGAACTATTTCTGGCTGTCGTAATTTATATATCTGCGTAGGTATATTTATTTTACAGGACTCTTACTTCTATATATGTCGTGATCGTTACGGTCATGAATAGTTGTTGTTGGTGGTACCGTTGTTTGGCTTATTTGTACATTTTCTGTTTCAATACCTTGATTCTAAACGAGCAAATGCAAAAATTGTCGTAGGGTAGGGTATATGGTACAAAAGAATTGTATGCTATAGGATTCTACCTTCTAACCGAGTTACTCACCTCTGTTTGTTCATCAGGAGATTGGTGTAACTATATCAACAACAATAAATATTTACAATTAATTAATGAAATAAAATTACACCTACTTCATGCGCCTTTATTTGTAATTGTTGATATCGTTGTAAAACATGTCGTTTTATTTCGATGTCCATTGGTTTTCTCAATAAGATTGATCTGATGACTTCAGTTGAACAATTCTTAACATAATATAATCTTCATCGTCACTTGGTATTATTTGAAGCACTATACATGTTTTTATAAATATTGAAAATGATTTATTATTTTAGTATAATATGCAAATGTGTACATACGTTACATTGGAATCATCATTGAAACATAGCTTCATGAGATCAACGATGTCGATGAAATATTGGTGTAGATTTGTTGGTATTTTTTTATTCATTTTCAAACTAAAACGTAAAATCAAGTTATGTTTATCGCAAGCTATGGCTTACTGTTGCAATTCGATAATGTTGATACTCGTAAGAAAATAATAAAAAGGATCATCAACATCTGTCATTTTAATTACAAGATTCTAAAATTGTAACGATCATAAATATAAAATGTATATATATATATATGAGATAGACTTACATTTTCGTCGTGTAAATTAAGATCGAAATAAGTCTTTCTATAAACAAAACCAAATTACAAATAGTTTTAATTCAATTAATGCATACTTTTTTGCCGATATACCATTTAATGCTATTTTCCGATGGAATGTTTTCACAATAGTGAAGCGTGCTCATCATCGTCAAAAATTTAATAAATGATACAGCAAACAAATTTATCTTCATGAGTCACCCATAGCATCTACAATTGGAGAACAGTATCCTCTAATCAAGCCGAGCGCCATCGATGCGCGCTTATTGGTTGAAATAAGCGGCATACATTTTTCTTTTCAGCCAAACTAACGTAACTTGTCGTTTTATTTCTTCAACAACACGAGGGAAAGGTTGCATAATACTTGTCTATTAAAGTCAATCTTCCTTCTCTCTTATTTGAGATAGATTATTCATTAATCAAAATGAATCACATTGAAAAGCTTAGCTGACGTTGAATGAAAAAGATTCATTTTTTTGCCTCTTACAAATAAAAATTTTCAAATGATTTTTTAGTACGGTAAAGGAAGTACAAAAAAAAAGTGCCACCAAGAAAATCGAAAAAAAAGAATATTTGTGGAAAATAATTCATCATCAGTCAAGCTTGTTCGATATTAAGATAGAAAAGCAAATGAATCTAGGTTTTCAATTTTATAGATGTGAACGAAGATGAACGTGAAGAAGATTTTGTTGAACAAACAGATTATACAACAGTAACGAATAATTATCGAGTTGGTCGAGCAAAATTTTCAATCGTTGAAGAGTTTGTTGAGTTATGATTTGAAGTAGATTTGTTTGCTTTTGTTTTTGTAAAGTGAACTCGATCCAATTCAAAATGGAAAAATGTTTAAATGAATGTTATGGATCAAAAAATCAAACACTAGCTGGTGATTCTGATCATGAAAATCGAACACCACGTGAAATAATTCAGCACAGTTGTTTACTTGATGTTAAAGCACTTAATCTTTGATCAGTTAAATGTAAAATTGGAGAAGAAAAACAAACACAACTTTATTACTTATGACAAAATTTGTTGCTTTAGAAAATAATGAAAAAGTAACAACGAAAAATAATTTTTTTAATTAAAATAAATTTATTTCATTTTAAGGCACTAAAAATAAAATCGATTATTGCAAAAGAAAGTGATCGTGATTATATTTATATTGAAGCATTTAAATTAAATCATTAAAAAATGATATACTCTCGCTTGCACTTCGTGCTCCTGTTCAAGTCTGTGAAGGTGAACTCATTAATTTACAAGGTACAATTGTTGGAATTAATGGTAATTTAAAGTAAATTTTTCCAACAACATGAAGCATTTAATGATGAAATTCCATTTAAAGCAAATGAATTACGAAAATATTTTTCAATTGGAAATTATGTTAACATTTTAAATGCAAGATTTAAAGGATAAAATGGAGCGGTTGTGGCAATTGACGGAACAAAAAATGCAGTAAGGAGATAAATGAAAATCCATGACATCAAAGTCGTATAAATTTTGCCGATTAATCACCATATTGAGCTACAACGTCGATTTATCGGCAAAAGTTACATGATTTTGATTACATGGGCACAAAAAAAGACAATAATTATTGTTTATTTGTTTAATTAGACGTCTATTCGAACACCAGATGTTCAAATTTGTAAAGAAACAACTACATGTGCTGATTCATCTGGACAATTTCACCTGAGAGATTTAGTTAATGTATCGTATGTTGTTTTCCTCAACCAAGAAAATGATTTTTTTTGTTCTTTTTAACAGATCAAATAAAGTTGGTGTTGTTGTGCGTATTGAAAAAGAATATTTGCAACTATTAAAAATACAGATGGAAAAGTTGAAAAAGTTTCAATACGACCAATAAAAAGAAATGAATCGAAATACAACAACAATTGATCCACGAAATAATAATTAAAACATTGGATATATTGTTAATGCTTTATTGATGGATCATTTACAGTAAGAATTAGAAATAAATTAAACAATTCAATTTCCTTTTTTTCTTTTTTTTTAAGAATCGTCAAGGTTGTAAATAATATTTTTTTATCGTCAATGTGTTTTTATGTGTATTTGTTTGTACATCAACTGAAAATGCTGGTGTATTTGTAACGAAATCAAGAAATGTATTGTTAACTGGTGGTCAGTCGAAATTTTCTTCATCATTACTTTTCAATCATCCAGCACCATTTGATAGAGGAAGGTCTAATTCAACTGAAGAGACACAACAACCATTTTCAACATTAAATAATACGAATTTAATTGGAGAAACAGTTAGAATTTCACATGGATCTTATAAAGGTTATATTGGCAATGTTAAAGATTCAGCATTATCAACACGCAAAGTTGAACCACACGCCAAACGTCAAAGAATTACTGTTAATCGAAATCGAGTTGTATCAATAAAGTTTGTTTTATAATTTAATTAATTGGTGAAATTAACTTTAATTTGTATAGAAATGATTCACAAACACCTCGATGTGGATATATGATTCGTATAGATTTAATTAGATAAAAATATACTTCACTTCTGTTTTAGACACCTCGTTATGATGGTTCAATGACTTCATATGCTTATGATGGTGCATCAGTGTGGAATTCAACATATACATCAATATCTTGGTTAGTTATTATTTTATTCCTTGTTGATATATGTATTATCTAATTTAGAGTTCACTCTGATGATGTCTCATCGTTTTCAGCATTCAATCGTACAACACCTGCATATAGTCATTTGGTAGATACATTATCAAGTGATATTGAAAGTTCAAGAACAAGAAACTCTCGTTCATTATATGGTTTTATTAATCATTCATCAAATATCGATTCAACTATTAGTACTTATGCTATGTGACCATAGACTATTTCTAGCAAAAACGATTTGGCTGTTGTTTTCTTGCTACCAATGCTTTGTGTGACAATAAATTGACTTGAAAATCATAGAGAAATTTTTGAAAAAATTTTTATATAAAAAAAGAATAAAGTTCATTGCCTCAGCTTCAGCTTTTATTTTAGAGATTTGATCAAGATGATAGACTTCATTATTAAAACCATATATAAATCAAATATTGAATGTTTAAATAAATCAAATCAATTTTGATCATTTAGCTTTCAAAAAATAAATATATTTTGATTAGAGGTGCTGGTTTAGCATTAATATTGCATTATTTTAATACGGAATTAAATACTTCAGCATTATTATTGTGTGTGTGTGTGTGGATGTGTAGGTATTATGGTGGTTAATATTTGACTAGCTATCTGCCCCACGTGCCAGCTTCCACGTGGAGACACATTCTTTCCGGTGAACATTATATTACTTTTTGATAGTTTCAAAGCAACTGCATGTGTACAGATTATCGATTGATTAAGTTTTACTGGCCAATTTTTATTCTCTGTTAAATAATAAACTTACAGAACATCAAAGAATCAAAGTGTGATTTGGATAAAATATCGAAATACCGAAAAATAAAACAATCGCAGTGCAAGAATGTCGGCAATTGAATGTAGGTGAATATTAATAGGGAAACGACTCATCATCCTAACTGTGGTGTTAACGAAGAACTGAAACACGAAGCCGATTTATTCGAGTGTGAGGTAAATTGGTAAAAAGATTGTTAGAGAACCATTAAATTGTATACGTATATATACATAGCTATATCGTTTTTTGGTACACATTAGAAAATTTCCACCCTTTGTGCTCTCGATATTTTATTTTTTCGATATTTTACTACCTAATTTATAAGAACTTGTACGTTTCTAAGTAATGAATCAAAATCTGTTTTTGCTTTCCAATTGAATATCTTTACAGTACATACAATTTTAAATGAATTGAGGATAATACTTCAAACGTGTGTTGACAGAGGTGCATTTGAATTATTTCGATTTTCAATTATTTGTTTAACAAATACGAGAAGATTAGAAGGAAATAGGACTTGACACAAGCCCAAACGACGACGATGTTACGGATCACTGACAAAACCATCAACATCAATCCAACCATTTTTGAATGCTTCTTCTTTCGTTGTTCGAGGTTTGGGACATGAACTTAATCATTGACAATACGCTTTTTGTTGATCAACTGTTTCAAAACACAGAGTACTATTAAAGATAAATAATTGAGCTAATTGTTCGTCTGACAAGACGAAACGAGCAACTCTACCCGGGCAGTTGATTGACGGTGGTACTGTAAGAGTTGGAGTATTAACCAAAATTGATTGAATTTGTTTCAAACAAGGTAATAATAACCGTAGTGTGGTAGTCGATCACTTGTTCGATTTTTCCGTGTGGTAATCACGCGGTGTGGGTGTGGGTGTAGGCGTTTTTCCTTCATCGACACCCAGACCCAGGTCCACACCCACATCCACGTGTGAATTGTAGTGGATGTGCGTTCAGACAGCCTTCGGCCCCTTCGCTACCGATTACTTGAATGTTTGACAATGCTGCAATCCTATTGGTCAGTTACATACACAGCCTGTAGCAAGCGAACGATTGATTTTTTTCAGAAAAAAGTGGACGCCGATCTTCCCCAAGATCCAGAAAAAAATTGTGGAAAGTTTGGTGACGATAGCTACTACAGGGACTGAGTGAACCGCGAACAAACAAACAAACAAACAAACAAACAAACAGACATTCTTCTTTATATATATATAAATAGATTAAGATAATAGAATTTCATTCACGAATAAATAAATGGCATAAGAATTTAAAATTTACAGGATTAATGGAATTTGACGAAACACTTCCCTTTCTGGATGTACTAGTAGTGGCGTAACCAGGATTTGTCGGGTGATTTGACTGAGCCCTAACGTTTTCTCGAAAAGCTATTTTTGGTGATGCATAACTGTTTTTGAAAAAAGCAAGGACGCGATAATGTATTCAGCTTCAAGCACATTCTTTTAAATAATGTTTCGTTTATTTATTACAAAGAAATAAAGAATCACAGCTTGTATCGCAAAATTTTACTGTAAAAGAATTCAACTATTTTTGTTAAGATCAGCAAAATTCTCCATTCTTTTTTCGAAATTAGTATGGAAATCGTGTTCTACCTGTAAAACGGGCAAATCATTCTACCAAGCATTCGACATTGTATTACGTGCGGTATTTTTTATCAGTTCATTTTACAAAATATTCTTTCGCAACTGTTAAACGAAACAGGCATAGTCATAGCAGCAGTGAGAAGAAATATAGCAGTTGGAAATGTCTATTTCAGTGACACTCAAGGACATAAAAATTTTCGAAAACGCATTTAAACGTGTTTTCAGTCAGACAAGCTTGGAAATGTATGCAAATGCACTAGCAAAAGACATAAACTGGTCGTCCTTTTCATAGTCGTTATCCGTGACGGGATCATAAGTAGGGTTCTTGAATACGAAGAAAATCGCCACCTTTTGTCTTTTTTTAATGCATTTACACGTGTTTTGGCTGAAAACGCGTTTAAACGCACAAGAGGGCAAAAATGGCCGTTTTCTGTTCACGGTTAGGATCCCCAATTGTCATACAAGCACACCCAATTTTCTTGGATTTTTCGTCCTTTTTTATACATTTAAAAGTGGGTTTCCAAATTCTTATCTGTTTGAGCAGTGATTCAGCATAGAGATGATTACTACTGAACTTTGAATCTTTCAACATCTGCTTGAGAACTTAAATTTTATTGTATAATGAGGAGAAATTAGTTGTCATTTATAATGCAAAAGGCTTTAGTAGCAAATTAAAAGAGATCGAAGCGGATGCAATCGTGCAGTGTTTTATTGTGTCTAGCGTTAGAAAAAAAATCATTTTTTCTGAAAACGGTTGGTGGTTGGGCTCAGCTCAACCATGCCCTACCCTGATTACGCCACTATGTACTAGTCACAATTGATCATACTCATAACCAACTAACCACCTCACTCTACCGGAAACCAACACATACAGGACTTTATCTACTTTTGGACAGTAGTCAGAGTCGAAGATACAAGATTAGTCTAATAAAAACATTGGTGATACGAATATATAGGATTTGCTCAACAAAAGAAATCATACAGAAAGAGATAAATCAACTAAAAGAAACACTAGAAAACAATGGATCTAGCTTTCGATATAATACAGTCAGTATTGACATTATCTATTAATTTCGTTCTGATTATTTTGTTCTAAATCGTAACTTCTATTCGCCTATTCTGCAATCCGTTTTTTTTATTTAAAAACTCGATGCACAAATAAAACAAAAAAAAATCATTTTCGATGTAAATAGATATTATCGTCTTCAAGTTCAATTGTATAATGCTGAATTAATTTCTTATGATTGTGTAATTTATTAACTAGTTCGTTGTTTATTGTTGTTGGCAAATGAAGACAAATTAATTGTAGACACTGATGGCTATTTTGTAAAATATATTTGAAAAATGATTCATAATCAATCTTATTCGTTAAATCTATTTTGAGATATGTTAAACGAGGACAAATCTGCATAATAAAATCAATTTCTTCGATTGAATTCATATTTTCCAAATAAACTTTTGTAATTATACTTTTAGTTGATGTGAAAGATAACAATTTTGATTCAGATAAAATAAAAGAAGAGATTCTTAATGAATCAAGTTCAGATAAATAATCTAAGATTTGAATTAATGTATTTGAACACATGGTATGTTTTCTAATTTCCAAATGAAAAATTTGCGTCACCATTAAAATACCAAGAAAGATAAAGTCTAATACATCATCAAGCACATCTGTTATAATAAATCGAGTAAATTTTGAAAGTTCATTAGAAGATTTTTTATCATACCATCGATCCCTAGGGAAAAAAGGAAAGAAATTATTCATATTTCCTAGTTTTCAACTGACTTATATAAACCAATTGAATAGACAATATCAAATGAATTCATTTCAACATCCAATGCCCATTGGCGTTCAATCCAGAATAATGAAGTAAACGAATGTCGAGGTTCACAACATGCTAAAGAATCAGGTTCAGTGTCAATCTCTTGATAACAATTAAGATAAATTTTTTTTAATTCTGGTAAACATTCTGAGATTAAACTTTCCCATCGATTATCATCAACATAGTGCGGATCATAAAATTGTATATAATCAATATGTAAAACTTTTAAATTACATTTAGTTTCTGTAATAAAAAACTTTAAGTCATGAAATGTTATTTCACATGATTTGATTGAAAGGTGGGTCAAATTGAATAAATTAATTGGTAATATTGTTTCACTTGAATAGTTATTCTCATCGAGCGAAGATATATGGAGATAACGAAGTTTAGGTGTATAAGATATGATTATAGAAAGTTGACTAAAAGTACAGTTATGATCAATAACAAGATGTTCAATAGTTGTTAATTGTTTTTTCGTAGCAACTGACAATAATTTAGATTTAATAGTACTATCTGATGAACATGAAACATATTTCAATTGTGGTAAAGTAAAAATTAATCGATAAATTTCATTTAAATTGCTTGATGGCGATTGTGTATCAATGTCAATGGTTAATGAACGAAGATGAGTTGAATAAGTTAAATCAGTAAGTATTGAAATAAGTATTTCTGACTGAATGCTACTTAGAGAGAGTGATTCAAGACAGGTAAATAAATTAATTGGATATAACGAAAAAAAATTATCCTCGCTTGAATATAATGTTACAGTCAACGAAAGAATTTGTTGTTTATTAATAAGTAAAAGTTGTTCATAGTCCTCCTCATCTGTTTTATTTAATGAAGGAATGGTTATTTTAAAATGAAGGGCTGATCCATGAAGAAGTTGTTGAAATCGATAATTAAGATTTAAAAATGTTCTGTATATGTTACAACCATCAAGATAATCGAATATTTCATAGAACAACTCATTCGATAAATTTTCGATAGTAGTAATAAACATGTTTCAATTTACAAATATCAAACTATGTTGTTTTTCTTTTAGTATAACAATGTACTAAAACAAAAGCACACACACATATATATATATCTGTTATAATTCTTCTTCTATTTGCTTTTCCACGTGTGCAATGAATCATTGATTTTTTTTTTCATAGGCGAGAAATAAGTCTTATTGTACAAATGAAGTCATATGAAAATGTGAAAATAAAAGTAACAAACTAATTTTTTTCTTAAAGTAAAGCTTCAGTTATGAATTTACTAAAAAAATGGCTTGCATATTTAAAGTTAGTGGTAATCTAAATGATGAATTTTTAGAATATCTCAAATTTTTCAATATTTATGTTTTATGAATAAACAGAGAATAAGTTTATAGAAAAGGAAAAATCGAAAATAAGGCAGTTGATACGAATGAAGGAAGAATCTTTTTGTTAATCAATACTAATCTACTTTGCGATGATTTGAATTTGAAAAGAAGTTTCCCCTTGAAAAAGAAATACTGAACCGAAAATATAGAGATTATATAAGTACGATTAAAGTAAATAATATCATGAATTATATTGATTCATACTTCCTACATTTCGAATGTTGATTTCGTTGTTGTACAAGAAAAGAAAAGATAATAGTCGTTTCGCTTTTTAGCATCAACATGTTAGCATTTAGATTTATTTTTCCAACTTGATAAAACGTATATTTCACTGATAAATTTCTTTTTCATAATAAACATTTGAATCATCATCTAAAAGTATTCTACCTGGATATTCAAGAATTTAGATCCCAGTCTATTTCCAACAGCCCTTGTTTTACTACTTGTACTCCATGTAGCATTTTCACAAATTCCATCGGCAGGCTTCCTGGTTGTTTTTGTTGATATTGATGAACATATTGATTGTGCTGTCCTTCTCATTGGGGTGTGGGTGTGTGATTGTAGAACAATACATACCAACAAAACATCCGCACACACAACTATCTGAAATTCTTCTGAACGATGAATAAATTTAGATAATTGGAAAGTTTATTGTATGATTGACTTTAATTCTTTGAGATTGAAATATGTTTTCAATGAAAATGCCATTATTCAATAGCTTATTTTGTATTCGATTCAAAATTATAACATAAAATCTTTGATGATAATATACATAAAATGAAAGATAGAGAAGGAACATATAGAAGAGAGAACAACTGAAAATAATCTAGACGTGTAACCCATATTGAATGACAGTTTTGTTTGATTAATTCAGTTAAAAGATTCTTCTCAAATAGGATATGATAGAACGTTTCATATTGTATAATAATTTATAAATCTACTATATCTATATGATCTTTTAATTCTATTTGCTCCTGATTTGTTTGTTTATTATTATCGTCGCATTATATTTGGTTTTGAAAATTATGCGGAAAGAATAGACAATTTAGGTTTCACAAAAAATGCAGTCTGTTCTAAAAATGAATACTCGCCGTGCATTATCATCGTTCGGGCCATTTTATCAATCGTGAACTACTGATGTATGTATTTTATTTTTATTCTGATATCTATTTACCGATAAATTTTAGCTGAAGGCACCTTGGTAAACAGCTTATGGTGGCAAATATACTGTAACATTAATACATGGTGATGGTGTAGGACTCGAACTTATGCAACATGTTAAAACTTCTATTCGGTAAGAAGTGTATTCTGCTCATTCTATTTAATGGTTGCACTAGATGTGTTCGCGCACCAGTTGGCTTCGAAGATATTCCTTTATCAAGTAATGTAGCTAATGACGAAATGTTTGAGAGAGATGTTATGACTGTTAAGCGTAATGTAATAGCACTCAAAAGTTGGTTTTTTGAAAATTCAATTATTGAAATATATTCAACTCAACTAGGTAATATTGCATCACAAAATACAACATACTCTCAATGTTCTTTTACGGTAAGTTCGATGATTTATTTTGTTTACAACAGCAAGATTCATATTTTAGTACTTGTCATGATTTATTTGCTAATGTAATTCGTTTTAAATCAAATACTATTGTACCTATACACCATTCAAACATTGATATTCTCGTTATTCGTGAAAATACAGAAGGTGAATATAGAGTTCACTTGAACACGAGGTAAATATTCGTATTCAATATATTTCAATTCTATTTGACTTTTTATTTTTAGTCAGTTTCTGGAGTGACAGAGAGTCTGAAACGTGAATTTTAATATTTATTTTAAGTATGAATTTCATCGTTGTTTTCTTTATAGTTATAACATGAGCAAAATCTCTTAAAATTGTTCGTGTTACTTTAGAAATTTCAAAGCATGCAGAATGAAAGAAAGTAACCGCTGTTCATAAAGCAAATATAATGCAAATACAATATAATTATTTTTTTCAAATATTTTATTATTAATTTTGTATATCATAGGAAACTGATTGATGGTTTATTTATTGATTGTTGTCGTGAAATAGCTGCTGAATATCCTGATATTAAATTTGATATAATGATTATTAATAATACATGTATGCAATTAGTTAATCGACCAACACAATGTGATGTTATGGTTATGCCGAATTTATATGGAAATATGGTATCAAATGTAGGTGCTGGTCTTGTCGCTGGTTCAAAATATGGAGAACATTATGCTATTTTTCAATAAGGTACAATAAATACTAGTTGAGGTATTGCAGGAAAATATATTGCAAATCCATCTGGTATTCTTTTTACTGTTGCTAATATGCTGAAATATTTAGGGTGACTAATGAAAATCTTTGTCAAATGCTATGTAGAAAAGAACATATTTTTCGATTGGATCAACATTGTGCAACTATAAGAAATGCTGTTTTATATACTATTCAAGAATATAAAATAAAAACTGCAGATATTGGTAGTACATCAACAACAACACAATTTATTGAATGTGCATTAAATGGCATTGTTAAGATGACATCACAGATTGTTTTCAATTATGAGATGTAAAAACCAAATCTTGCATTTAGATATAAAAGTATTGATTAAAACTTTATTCCTGCTGTTCATTTTGTTTTGCTGCTTTGGCCTTGTCGTAATTTTATAGTACCAATATATAATAAGGAATTGAAGTTAAACAAGACGCAAATCAATCTGATCGTATTGATTTTGGTACGGTTCAAATCTATTCTCAGTTTTTGAATTCTTAATACTTTTAATTATTTAGGGAGCGGAAATTGATTGGTCTGATATTCATACAGTACCAGAATTACTTGATCGAGCTCTTTCATCAAATGGTGATAATCCAATTTCAAAAATTAAATTCCTGATGTTCTTAGAAAAGCTGCTCTAAATGAATTAACAGCCAAGTATTTTGTCTTTGATTTTTTCAAATTAGTTGATGATGGTATTGCTCGTGGTAATGATGCATTAACATCATTTGAAAATCGTTCACAATATCCATTATTTATTCATTAACTTTATTGAGTTTGTTCAACTTATCTTTAAAACAGTGCATAAATTCTTTTTTTTTAAAGATTCAATCATTCATGAAACAACGTCTTAATGAAATATCGTGTTAACGAAACTATTCTTGTGAGATTTATTATGCAAAATGCTCCAGCGCATCAAGACAAAAAATAAATGAAAATGGTAAGAAAATAGTTTAAAACAATAACATTATGATCTTTATTATTTTTCATTTAAGATTTAAAAAAACTTTTAAAAAATAGTGATTCAATATTTACATCAATTAGTAATCGACAATTAGATCGTTTATTTTCAATGCATGATTCATATAAACGTGTTGATCGTCTTATAAATTGTTTTCCACAAAAGAAAACCCCTATAAACGTAATCGTTTACAACAAAATGAATTAGAAGATACAGCATTTAATTCTTTAAAAGAAGAACAACAATTAAAATAAAAATTATATTTATTTATTTCATATATTAAACAACTTACAGAACAGGTTAGATGCATTTTTTAAATTGATTATCGAATTTTATGAAACTTTTTTCAGGTAGCAAAATAAATTTCGGTGAAAAAATGTCAAAATCAACGTAACAATATTATGGGCAAAATCAATACATTATAAAGAATTTTTATTTATTTTTCTTTTAAAAACTGGGCAACGCATATTGACGAGGGATTGATTTTATCATTGTGCACTGATGAATAAAGCAGATTCATTATTAAAAATGTCATCGCAAATAGATGTTCGATCAAAGCGAGCTTAGAGCTGCTTGAGTCTATTTCAAAAGATTGTTTTTCCTTAATTGAATCTAATTCATATTAAACTGCAAATATACTAGTTTGAGATTGTATCTCATGAAAATAGAACGTTAGAAAAAAGGAAACTTCGCCCATTCATCATTGTTTCGCTTCCATGGTAACAATTATATTTTAAATATGTATTGCCATTTTTTATATGTACCGTTAATCAAGATTCGTCCATCAATGAATTATAAAAAAGAGAGCATAGTTATAAAAATGCAGACATAATCGTGAATACGAATATATGGCATTGATTACACGCTTTGATGATCTACTCGATTTAGTATTGATCAAGTTGTTCTCATATCTATCGTCTATCGACATTCTTTGGGTATTTACTGATCTTAATCATCGTCTAACAATGTTAATAATTGAACATGAATTCTTTTATCATATTAACTTATCACTTGCACATTATCATCAATTTAATAGAATTCTTCGTTTTCTTCCATTGAATGATATTCAATCACTTTCAATTGAGAGTGATGCATCTCCGTTTCAATTAACTCGTTGGTGTTATTTATCTCATTTGAAAACTCTGCATATCATTGGTGCATGCAATCATGACGATCTTTTGCTCTTTCTTTTGGTTCATGCAACCACACTCACTCATTCATCTCATTATCAAATCAAATGAAAGACTGGTCTACGTCAGTGTCGAGGATTGTTTTTTAAACATGCAAAGCCTTACAAAGGAAGGATATTGTTGAAGCAAATTTTGAAAATGCTGAAGGATTGTTCTGTTCAATTGATTCTTTATATCTTGAGTCGAGATAGAAAGAAAATTCTAGTAAAAATTACGTGGCTATTAATGGATTGTGTCAAAGATAAACTTTTATTAAAATATTTCGATCGGAATAAAACCGGAATAGAATACGTTGAAGATATCATGAAAGATAAGTTGATTGCTCTTTTAGTTATCCGTAAAAGTGAAATCATTTTTCAAAAAGGGTGTGAATGTGGTCTGAGTATAGGTTATATCTTCATCGACATATATGCACTTTGCCACAACAAAATCCACTCACACGTACACCCAGTGGCGTAGCCAGGATCTTTTTAGCATTGGGCCATTTCCCAGCGGAGCTCCTTTGAGGATTGGGCAGCCATGGGTAATTCAAAGTTTCATTCGGCTATGTTTCATTTGCTGGCCCAATACATGTTTTAGGCGCAAGAGCATACCTGACCTCAAAACTCAGGAAGGGTAAAACGTTTTTCATTCAGTGAAGTAAAAAAAATTACTGTATTAATTTATATCCACATTCGTGAGCAATGGACGATTACTATCATTCTAAAAAAGCATTGGGCAATTGCCCAATGGCCCCCTGGCTACGCCACTGCGCACACCCCACGCCCACACCCTCAAGATGGTAATAAAGACATCGAAGACGCCATCAATAAATCTTTTACAGACATGTCTTCTCCATTTCATATCAAAGCGTTGCAAGCCTTACAACTTTTAGAATTACTTGCTGTAGAACTGCAACAGTCATTATTTATTCCAATAACAAATTAAGATCACGAAAATAGTTTGAATGACATTTTATTAGTAACATGTACACGTGAAAAAAAGGTTATTGTATATGTTGAATAAATTCGACGATATCATGTGAAACTTTGCTTTTTATCATGAAATAGAAATTCCAAAAGGACGACTAATCAATCGATAATAAGCATTTCATTTCTAAACTAAACTTGAAAAAAAAAGACTTTTGAGTTTGAAATAACATAAGGTAATCAATGACAATCAGACAGAAGATAGTATATAGGAGAAAATGAACGATCAATATTAAATCTAAACAGATCAAATTAATCTTAGATTTGTCAGGGATGGGATTGATTGTGGATGAGAGTCCAAATCTCACTGGTAGTGGGACGTGCAACATATAAATGACAGAAGTTATAATAGCTGAGCATTTGAATTATACAAACTGATTGGATTAATCATAGTTCGTGTTCGATTCTCAATCCGTGATGAAGTTGAAAGCTTGAATTTCTTGAAAATTGAAAAAGAAATACATCACTTCCATATATTTGATGATGATTTGTGCAGAGAGAATCGTCAGCATTCAGCTGAATGTTGGTATTACTATATGATCAACGAATTTAATTTGTTTTATTTTATGCTTCATTCGATTGATATTCATTGAAGGATTACTTTGTTTTAAACAAACTTTTGATTTGAATTGATCAAAGATTAATAGATTGGAGAATTATGGCATCAATAAAGAGAAATCAATTGTTTGGGTTTCTTCTCCTTTTTGATATTCTTCCAATTCTTTTTCGACTTGTTTCTTTTTTTTCTTCCAAGAAATCCAACGAAATATTAAGAAATAAAAGTTTTGGTTTCTTTTTCTCATATCTTCATTATTTTGGTATTCGTTCAAGAGAAATGATCAAAATCATTATTAAAAGAGAATATTTAACTGAAAAAGATGCTGATCTTGATTTTCTTTGGTAAGATCATTTCATGCTGTCCTTCAATCAATATTTCTTTCAAATCCATTAGAATTGAAATTGAAATTTCATTCGATTATCGAATAGTTATTTAAATCTCATTTTTATTAAATGTGAACATATTTCAAGTCAAAGTCTTTCTCCATCATCATCATTATTATTATAATGATATGAAAACCCAAATAAAGAATGTCTTGAATCTTGATCAAAATTGTCAGATTTAGCCCGACTGTGGGTTGTTCGGATTGTGACAACCCCTAATATTTAAAAAAATTTCTTTTTTGCTTAACCAAAACCTCACGAATAGGGATGGCGTCACTAGGGGAGGGGTGTCGGATGTGTGACAACCCCACAATCGTGAAAAAGTTTTGTTTTCCCAGGGAGCCGGAAGCTTTTCCATTTTCTTAGAAAAAAAGCACCTATACTCTCCCCCCCCACCCNAAGTTTTCTTGTGCATTTAAAAATTTGATATTTTTCTTTTTTATTCAATTTTTGCTTCGGGCCTTCCCTGAAACTTGTTAATGATTTGATTAGATGCAATGATATTTTATGGATATCCATGAAGAACAATTCAATAAAATGATGCTAAAATTCAGAGTCATTTCAATATTTATGAGAAATCCCCAAGGGGGAAAAAGCTTATTTTTTTTGATTTAAATCAAAAGTGAAAATCAAAAAAAAATCAAAAACGTCAAAAAATCTGATTTCAGCTGTTTCCTCCTTGGAAATTTTTTCTCGACTTCTTTTCTCAATTATCTTGAATGAGTTCAATGTTGAAGAGAATTTAATTCAGATCAATGAATTATTTATCCCATCAAATGAACAGTTAATGAAAGAGATTTTTTTATTTTCTTAATTAATGCTCTTGTTTTCTCTTCAGTCAATTGTGTTTTATATCCTTTTCAAGTTGACAAAAACATCAAATAACTAATCGATGAAATTTGGCAATAATATTGTCCTGATGGAATTGGTGATGATTATCAATTCGTTTTTTTTGTTAATTCAAATTGAATGAGAATTTTATTGATTGTTCAAATTTTGATACAAATCGAATTTCAGTTAGCTAATCAAGTATCAATAAATTCATTTTGATTTAATTCTGATCAACTCTTTTCAATCAACATTATTAAAACTTCTTTGGTCATCGTTAGTTAAATCTTGGTCGAAGTTATGTAATGCATAAACTAACAGATCGAACAATTTAATTGATCAAATCGATTTGAAAGTCAAACAATAAATTGAAATGATTAATAATACCACGATGGAGATTCAAAATATATAAATCGAAATATTTAAATGAATCCTCTTCAATGTTACCCAATCTTTATTTAATCTCATTAAAAATCATTTCACAAACAGGATAATCAACAAAACTATCAAGCAGTAAACAATTCTTTCGAAAATCTTTCCAGCAGAGAAAAAGAAAATTGTTTTATTTATTAGAAACGATGATGAAAATTGGGTTTGATATCATAATAAAGATATATTAAGAGAACCAGCATCTATTTATGATTGCATTTATGGAACATGACTTTATCGGACTATTTCAGATAATTATTTATTTGAAAATTATCTTGAAAAATCTGATTTAATTCTTCATTTAGTTGGACAATTCTTGGTGTGGATATGGGGTTAGTGCTTATATTCACCCACATCCACAAGGACCAAGAAAAACGTCTACGTTTGGTTGAACTGACAGAACTTGACGAAAACGATGCTCGACAATAGTCCGAGAATCGATTATTCG